CCTGACAATTTGATCGCCGCCCTGCTCACTGCGAGGCTCCAGCGCGTACGGCCAATTGAGCACCTCATCGCTTGGAATGGCGCTGGCAGGGTACTGGACCGTTGTCTTGACTTCTACCCACTTGTCACGCTGCTTTTCGACTTCCATCGTCCACGTCACTTCCTCGTCGGCGCGCTGTTCCAAAAACTTTCGCAGATCGCTCACACTCTTGAACACTTCGCCAGCTCGATGCTGGTCAATCATGTGAGCCATTGCACGTGCGTGTTCCAAGCTCGTGTGCTTCGGCGCGTGGAACTGACTCGCTATGCGATCAGCTGAGCTGAGGTTTGGGTCATAACTCCAAAAGACTGAGCATGGAGTCAGTCACAGTCGACGTGCAACACAACATCGAGAAGTCGACTTACTGTTCGCGATGGCCTTAAACCCGGCAGTGAACTTGTCCATTCCGGCTCGAGCTAACACAAGCGATCGCGAATCGAGCTTATTCTTATTGAGCTTCGTAGGCGTGACGTTGTCAGCGCGTGACGTTGTCAGCAGCGCCACGACAGCGTTCTCTCGCTCCGCCTTGGGTAGTGCTGCTCTTGCCTTCCGCAGCAGCTTATTCTGATCCTCGTGCGACATTGGCGACTCGACTTGATGCAGCTTGCACTGCAGAGCAAGCGTGACTGGGACAAACTCTCCCTAAAGCATTATTGGCAAATGAGAGACCACCCAAACACTAATCCAATCCACCGCATGTGTCTTGTCTTACTTCTGGCGTTTGCTCATAGAAAATGCTCCAACCGTCAATACCACGGTGATTCTCTTCGCAAAGAGTGACGCGTCCTGAATATGCCCTTCTGGTTGGAGTGGCCACCGGCGAAAAAGTAACTTTGCTCCAAGCCTGGGCATCAACGAACAGCTTTGGAGTGGACGAGCCCGAGACTGCGCCCGGGAAGATCTTGTCGACCGGCACGTACTGCGCGTTGGAATTGACCTTAAGTGCTTTGGTGACGAGCAGCAAAATCCGCAGATTTAAAATCACGACACAGAAAAAGTCCCAGCTTTGCCACTTTGTTTGCAGGTCGGTTTCGAGCTCGTGAAGCACTCGGCGCATGTCATCAACAATGTCAATAGGTTGAATGCGTCCTGTGGAAGCAAAGAATCATAGATACCGGTCAGCTCAGCACATGAATCGCCTGTGTAGGAGCAAACAAGTCCATACCGTCGTACAACTGGATCAGCGTAACACGCGGAAACAAAAGGAGGCGGTCAGTTTCACGTGCTTTGAAAAGCACACCAATAGACACGAGCTCGTTCTCCTGGAACAATGGATCAGCATGGTCATCGTCAAAAAGGCACGATTCCATGAGGCCAACAAAACGCGAATGCGGGAGGTGGGTCAACCCGAGCGTGTCGAAGTGGTGGGGCACGCATAGCGCAATGACAGATCTAGGCAAACCAGCCACACGTTGAACGGAGCGCATCAAACGCGCATTGTGTCGCCAGGGGCCAAGTTGGGATCGTTCCAAAGCCTGTAAACCCATGTAGATTTGGTCAAGCAACTCGGCGGTGCCAGAACCCGACAATGGAGCAATGGGAACCGGCGCAACAGTCAAGCGTAAATCATCAGCGATCCCTCTCGAAATCGCATCGGTCAGTTGACTAGGTTTGGTGCCAGCGATCAACAGCCAAGTTGGAGTCGAGTAATCGGTACTCAAAAGCTGAAGCGGACCCATCGCTTGAGACCAGAATCGTCGCGCAAGTCGAGTGTCCGCCGATCTCTTCTTTTTTCCCGTTGCGGCTTGAAGGGTCTTGTGATCCGCCAACTGATACTTGGGATCTACATGCGAGTTGAGAATGAAAGTGGCTGAGTCAATTGCAATAAAAATATGAAGCTGCGCCGGATCAATGTTGCGATTCTTCGACTCTGTTGCGCGGATGAGCTCCATAGCGGCCAGAACTGATATGTTGGCCGAGATGTCCCGCGTATTG